TTTTAAGCACAGAGTCTCACTTTTGTTGCCAGGCTAGAGTGACTGCCGGGCACAGCTGGCTCCAGCAACCTCAAACTCCTAGGCTCAAGCGAATCCTCCTGCCTCAGCCTCCCTCCGAGTAGCTGGGACTACAGGCATGCGCAGCCATGCCCAGCTAATTTTTGTATATATTTTTTTAGTTGGCCAATTAATTTCTTTCCATTTATAGTAGAGAGGGTCTCGCTCTTGCTCAGGTGGTTTCGAACCCTGACTCGAGCAATGAGCAATCCGCCCGCCTCGGCCTCCCAGAGAGCTAGGATTACAGGCGTGAGCCACCGCACCCGGCTGAAGCCAACTTTTTAAATAATGTGCATACCCTTGCCTCAGCCCTAACGGATGGGAGAAACCACGTCTCCTAAACGTTTGGGGTCTGGTGTGACCATAACACAGGACTTCGCCTCACAGACAGCAGAGACACGTCGTAGCGCAAATAGCTTAACAGTAACTGCCCGAAAATAATTATCCAGGACCGCTGACGAAAGCAGGGAGAGCCCCTTCTCTGTCCCCTCCTCCCCTGGCTCCTTATAATCGGCCTGAGCAAATAGAACAGAATTTAATAAATCACCGAAACCGGGAAGAAGGCTCAAGCACACATCGGGCAGCCTCTGAGGAGTGGCCGTCCAGGTGGTGATACCTGAACCAGAGGGAGGGAGGGGCCGAGGGGAGTTCTAGGGTTAAGAACTTTCTAGAAGGAGGTCGGGTCCTGAGTGGCCAAGCGGTGGAGCCCGGGATGGCTGCGGGGCCGCGTGTGAGCAGCAGAGGCCACCCGCTCTTGTCCTGTCCCAGGGCGGCCGGGCCAGTGAGGTTGGAGGGGCAGCATCGGGGGCAAGGGTTCTCGAGACGTGGCAGGTGCGGGAGGGTGTGTGTGCGTGTTGGGGGGCTGCCTGGCCCGCGGGTGCCACCACCCAGCAAGTCAGCGGCCCGGGTGACAAAAGGAGGGCTGGCAATCTGGGACCAGGAGGAGAGCCAAGCGACAATCAGAAGGCTCGCAGAGAGTGCGTTGTTTTCAGGAGGATCACTCCAGGAGGCTGAACTGTGCAGACACATTTTGTTTTTTCTCCGTAGTCTTAAAAGAAAAGGCAACAGGACTTCAGAGACAGGTTACGAGGAATTGTAGAAGAGGCTAGAATGCAACAAAAGAGATCAACTGGAGCTGCCAAATCTCAGGAAACACGTGGAAGGGAAAAAAGCCGTTACATAAATGAGAGTCAAGCTGGAGATGCCAAGAGGAGAACAAGAGTGGCGGGGGTCTCAGGCCGGGGCTCCGAAGAGCGGCTTGGCAAGCTGCCCGCGTGAAACAGAAGGGAACGAAGAGCCGAGGTCGTGAGGGAGAGCAGAGAGATCCGCAGCACAGAGAATATCCACCCACAGGTGCAGATACGTGGTGTTCATGGAGAAGGAAGTGGAACCACGACAGATTCAGAGACATAAAAAAAAGAGAAAGCTTTTGCAAAACTAAAGGATGACTAAATCCTCAGTTTATAAAGGCACCTTGCATTTCAGGAAAAATTCAGGCATTATTACCTGAATGATTAACAAATGATTAGCACAGATATAAGTTGGTAAAGTTGCTGTGCTTCAAGTAAGGGTAAATAAACAAACAATACTGATACTACCTCAAAAACAACAACAACAACAACAAAAAGACAAAGTCTGAGCACCGTGGCTCACTCCTGTACTCTGAGCATTCTAGGAGGCTGAGGTGGGAGGATCAATTGAGGCCAGGAAGATGCCAGCGGCTTATCAGCGATCTGATCCACTCCTGCTAAGGGACATTCACTGCAGCACTGTGCACGGTGACAGAGCTGTGGATATGACTCAAATATTGGGGCAGTGGGTATACGAAATACAGTGTGCTTGTGTGTGGGGATACTTCATAACAGCTGGAAGTAGATGGAGGAGCTCCCCGCACAGCAACCTGAAATGACGCTGAGAACATGCCGTAGAGCGAAAAAAATGTTGCAGAACGTTCCGGTGCCATGCCACTTACATGGCACTAGGGACACGCAGAAAAACATTATTTTGTGTAGCTCATGGGAAAACCATATAACGTGTGCATTGTGTACGGCAAAATTATGAAGACACACACGGGTTGCATGCAAGCTGTGGGAGGAGGGTGGGGGCGGGAAAGGGAGGGAGGTGCGAAGGGTCCTCCGTGTTACCTGCAGAGCGTTCCTTCTCGCTTCTTCAACACGTCTCACGCGGACGAAATTCCAGCGTCTGTGAGCTCTGCGTGGCAGATATGCGAGTGTTGAGTCGCTTTTTGTGCTTTTCTGCACGAGAAACCTCAAAGTCAGTAAAAGGATGCTGATCGCACCCGCCTCGCTCCTTTAGGGCCACTGCCAGGTGTCAGGGACGAAATATCCGTGAACTGTCTTTGTGAAATGAACAGCTCTGTACAGACACGAGGCGTCGAGCTGGTCTGTCTCATTTGCTGTCGATCCTATTAGCTTCCATCTCAAAAGTCTGCATCGTCCGAAAGCTCCAAATTTGAGCAGCGTTGGCGGCGATGGTGGTATTTGCTGGCCGGGATGGGGGAGGCGCCACTGCTGGTGGGCATTTAGGGCGGGGTTGGTGGTCCTGGTTGTCATGGTGACGGTGATGTGGGTAAGGAGCAGCCTAGCTTTGTGCCACACACACACGCACACACACGCACGCACACACACGCACGCACACACACGCACGCACACACACACACATGCACGCACGCTGCCGAGTGTCTCACTGCTAGTAAGACCAAACCCTCCAAGGGCAAACGGCATGAATGCGAACCTCCCCCCCTGCTCCTGGCAAACACCCATTCAAAGTGCTCTATTTAGTGCCGTAATTAGCTTTTCCTGTGACCGCTTGGATTCCGTCTTTCCCCTGGAGCTGCAGCAATATGAGGAACGACCACAGGAGGGCAGTCCGGAAACACCGAGGAAGCTCAACTTTCCGCCCAGGATTGGGGCTGGCAGGAACCCCCCGGCTCTGCGCAGGAAGCTGGTCCCGGGCAGGGAGAAGTTGTCTCTGCGGGAAAGTGGGGTTGTGGGGATGTCGGGGGGCCGGTCGACGGGTCGCAGAGTGTCACGGGAGTTTCGTCACTGAGAGGCATCTAGTCCGACCTCCTCTGCCCCAGCCAACGTCTCGGCTGCGGTTTCACGAGAGCCCCTGAGCCAGAAGCACCCAGGTAAGCCTCTCTCCAATTCCTGACTCGCTGGAGCTGCAATAGTCCAGGATCCTAGTTGCGAACTGCTAAAAGATTTGGAGATAATCTGTTACGCAGCAAAAGATCGCTAACACACCTGGCAGGTAGCAAACAGTCGGTGAGTGTTAGCTGTAATTGCTACTCAGGTGACTCAAATGCAAAGGATTTATTTTCTAGCCTTTTCTCATTAAGTATGATGGCCATTCCCCGTCCATCGCAATTGTGATGTGACTTGGAAGTGATACCCCCCTCCCCACTCATTTCATTGATACATTCATTTTATTTTTTTGAGACAGAGTCTCACTCTGTTGCCCAGGCTAAAGTGAGTGCTGTGGTGTCAGCCTCGCTCACAGCAACCTCAAACTCCTGGGCTCAAGCGATCCTCCTGCCTCAGCCTCCCGAGTAGCTGTGACTACAGGCATGCACCACCATGCCCGGCTAATCTTTTCTATATATTTTTAGTTGGCCGATGAATTTGTTTCTATTTTTAGTACAGACAGGGTCTCCCTCTTGCTCAGGCTGGTCTTGAACTCCTCTGACCTCGAGCTATCCTCCCTCCTCAGCCTCCCAGAGTGCTGGGATTACAGGTATGAGCCACCGCGCCCGGCCTGGTACGTTCATTTTCTAATGAGCCAAACTCCTGGCCAGAACGACATCAGCAAAAATCACGCACTCAGCCATGCATGCTCAGAGAGGCGAGGACTTTGGCCAGGCTGGACGGCCGGAGGAGCAGGTGGGATGGGAAGGGGGCTGTGACGTCAGTGAAGCCGAGAGGTGACAGGCTGGCTGCAGGGCTTGGCCGTGCTATGACAGTCCCCGTGCTGCAGAGAAATCCCTGTACTATAAAGAGATTCCCGCGATAGGGAGCCGAGCTCCATCTTTGAGGGTTCAGGTCGGGAGCAGGTGTGGGTGCAGGTGTTAGGAATATCCCTGGCTGCCGTCAGGGAAGCAGGTGGAGGAGCCCCTGCATGCCAGTCGCTCAAGCCACGGCCCCTTTTGCACATTTTATTTGGTTTTGGTTATTTCAGCATATTACGGGGGTACAGATGTTTAGGTTACGTATATTGCCCTCGCCCCACCCGAGCCAGAGTTTCAAGCGTGACCATCCCCCAGACGGTGCACACCGCACTCATTAGGTGTGAATATCCCATCCCCTCCGCCCTCCTCCTCCCACCTGCCTGACTCCTGATGAATGTTATTCCTATGTGCCCACTTAGGTGCTGGTCAGTTAACACCAATTTGCTGGCGAGTACATGTGGCACTGGTTTTTCCATTCTTGGGATACTTCCCTTAGTGGAACGGGCTCCAGCTCCATCCAGAATAATACAAGAGGTGCTAGATCACCGTTGTTTTTGATTTTTTTCTGTGGCTGAGTAGAACTCCCTACTACACATACAGCACATTGTACTAATCCGCTCATGGATTGACGGGCACTTGGGTTGTTTCCACACCCTTGCAACTGTGAACTGTGCTGCTACACACATTCGAGTGCAGGTGTCTTTTTTTACAGAATATCTGCTTGGGCTTCTCGTGCGTCTGTGGCTGCAACAGTCGTTCTCTGAGCGTCCGCCTGCCCCGCACTTCTCCTGAGCTGCCGCCCGTAGATCCACGCCGCCCGCCTGGCGCTGGCCCTGCCCGGCCGCAGGGCGCGAGACAGGCATCGGCGACATTTTCCCAGCCGACTTCTCCAGGCGGGCGGCAGCCAAACTGTTCACGCTTTGACCACGATCAGACTGAAAGAGCATTCACCTGCCCGCATTGAAATTCCTGCAAGTGTCGGGCCCTAAAATCCCCAAGAACCTGTCTTTCCATTCGCCCAGTACCTCGCCCCGGGGCCCTGCTTCAGCAGGACCAAACACACAGAAAATTGGGATGAATTAGGGCGCACATTTTAAAGTCGAGCTCCCCAGGTAGGTTTGGAGGATGCCGTGATGTACACGGATGCATCTCACATCCGAGTCTTTGCACACGTGACTGTGTTCATGAAACCCACACAAGAGGCCTCTGATCTGGAGGGTCAAGGGCCGGCCGCTTTTGGGGTGACGGTGAGAAGTGGCAGAGAGGTGGACCCTGGGCCTGGCGTGGGGAGGGAAGTTGCCGAAGTAAGCCAAAGGTGCATCGGCCCAGAGGGATGGTGAAGCCAGGTGGGACTGGGGGTCCCGGCCAGTTGTGTAGTCTGTGATGGGTGTGATCCAGGTGTGGAGTCTGTGATGTGTGTGATCCAGGTGTGGAGTGTGTGTTGATCGGGTGTGTGATGGGGATCCAGATGTGGATCTGTGATGGGTTGTGATCCAGATGTGGAGTGGGCATTGGTGTGATCCAGGTGCGAGTCTGTGATGTGTGTGATCCAGGTGGAGTGTGTGATGGGTGATCCAGATGTGGGATCTGTGATGGGTGTTGATCACAGGAGTGGATCTGGTGATGTGTGGATCCAGGTGTGGAGTCTGTGATGTGTGTGATCCAGGTGTGGATCTGTGATGGGGTGTGATCCAGGGTGGGATCTTGTGATGGGTGTGATCCAGGTGTGGAGTGTGTGATGTGATGCCAGGTGTGAGAGTCTGTGATGTGTGTGATCAGGTGTGGAGTCTGTGCTTGTGTGATCCAGGGTGGCATCTGTGGATGGGTGTGATCCAGGTGTGATCTGTGATGGGTGTGATCCAGGTGGTGAGTCCTGGATGCTGTGTGAGTCCCAGGTGTGGAGTCTGTGATGTGTGTGAGTCAGTGTGGGATCTGTGATGGGTGGATCCAGATGTGGATCTGTCGATGGTGTGATCCAGGTGGGAGTGTGTGATGTGTGTGGATCCAGGGTGTGGAGGTCTGGTGTGTGTGATCAAGGTGGTCGGAGTGTGTGATGGGTGTGATTCAGATGTGGATCTGTGATGGGTGTATCCCCAGGACGTGCGATCTGTGATGGTGTGATCCAGGTGTGGAGTCTGTGCCATGCTTGTGATCCAGGTGTGGAGTTGTAGATGGGTGTGATCCAGCGGATGTGGATCTGTGATCGGGTGTGTCGGATGAGGACGGAGTGTGATCAGTGTGGATTGTGTGCTGTGAATCCGGTTTGAGTCGTGATGTTGTTGAGGTGTTGATCGGCTGGTGATCGGTGTGGAGTGTGTGATGGGCTGTGATTCCGAGGTGGTCGGAGTCTGTGATGTGTGTGATCCAGGTGTGGAGGTGTGAGTGGGTGTGATCCAGAGTGGCATCTGTGATGGGTCGTGATCCCCCAGGTGTGGACTACGATGGGTGTGATCCAGGTGTGATCTATGATAGGGTGTAGATCCAGGTGTGGGAGTGGTGTGATGGGGTGTGACCAGGTGTGGAGACTGTGATGGGTGTGGATCCCAGGTGTGGATCCTGTGATGGGTGTGATCAGGTGTGTGGTGTCTGTGGATGGGTGTGATCCAGGTGTCGGGAGTCCTGTGAGGGTGGTGATCCAGGTGTGGAGTCTGTGATGGTGTGATCCAGGTGTGTCGTGGTAGCTGTGCATGGGTGTGATCCTGGTGTGGAGTTCTGGATGGGTGTGATCCAGGTGTGGAGTGTGTGATGGGTGTGATCCAGGTGTGGAGTCTGTGATGGGTGTGATCCAGGTGTGGAGTCTGTGATGGTGTGATCCTGGGTGGTGGAGTCTGTGATGGGTTGGATCCTGGTGTGGAGCTGTGGTGGATCAGGGTGTTGGAGTCAGGGTGGATCCGGTGTGGGCTGTGACTGGTATGTTCTGTGATGGTGTGGAGTCAGGTGATGGAGGGGTGAGTTGGGTGTGATCCAGATTGGATTCTGTGATGGGTGGATTCCAGGTGTGGAGTGGTGGAATGTGGTGTGATCCAGGTGTGGGAGTCTGTGATGTGTGTGACCAGGTGTTGATGTGCGATGGGTGTGATCCAGATGTGGAGTCTGGATGGGTGTGATCCAGGTGTGGTCATGTGATGGATGTGATCCAGGGTTGGGAGTCGTGTGGTATGCGGTGTGGAGTTTATGCGAGGTGGTGATCCTGTGGTGATCCTGTGTGGGTCTGGATAGGTGTGGATCATGGTGGGTGTCCGGTGGCTGTGATGGGTGTGATCCAGGGTGTGAGTCTGTGATGGGTGTCGATCCAGGTGTGGGTCGTGATGTGATCAGGTTGGATGAATGCGTACGCGTGTGTGTGTGTGATTGGGTGTGATCCAGGCTGTAAGTCATGGATGGGGTGTGATCCAGGTGTGGAGTCGGAAATAGTATG